ACTGAATAGTGATTGTTTTTTTTTTGGCATCCATATGAGGTCTTCTTGCGCTAGTAAAAGGAATGGAAGTTAGGATACGCATGTTAAGGATATCTTCTTTATAAGACTTTCTACTCTTTTTCCGGGAATAATGTTCCCGAAACCTCCTAAAATCTTTGTTCCGAGCTTCTTAGGTTTGTTTTGGTGGGCTCCCAATTGACACAATTGCATTGGGTTCGATGATATCTGCTCCATGAATCGGCAACTTATGAACGGTCGTTGACATGTAATACCTTTGCTACTCCAGTTTACTGATCTATTAGGCCGTGTCAGTTACTCTTGTTCTTGTGTGGTGGCGGCAGCCTCGTTCCGGTAGGCAAAGTGTAGGGCGGGCCCCCATTTGATGGAGTGAAGACGTGGTAAGACATGCAAGAAGTCGATAGATGCGGGTGGCTCAGGACGGTGCTTTGTGGCATTCCTTGTTTAGAAGTGAACTTGTGAAGGAATGTAATGATGATGATTATGGTGATGACAAGAGTACAATTTGCCACTTTGCCTGGCGTATGTGGACTATGAGAAAGCCTTTGATTCCATCGAAATTTGGGCGGTGCTGCAGTCCCTTCAGCGGTGCCAAGTTGACTGTCGGTATATCGAAGTGCTGAAGTGTTTGTACAGTAGGGCTACGATGGCTATCCGAGTACAGAACCAGAGCTCGAAACCTATCTAACTGCAGAGAGGTGTAAGACAGGGTGACGTTATATCCCCGAAACTCTTCACCGCTGCTTTGGAAGACGTTTTCAAGCTACTGGACTGGAAAGGATACGGTGTTAACATCAATGGCGAGTACATCACTCACCTTCGATTTGCCGACGATATAGTCCTTATGGCAGAATCGCTGGAGGACTTAAGCACTATGCTCAATGACCTCAATAGTGCCTCCCAATGGATAGGTCTTAAGATGAACATGGACAAAACAAAGATCATGTTTAATGTCCATGTCACACCTATGCCGGTAGTTGTTGGGAGCACTATGCTCGAAGTTGTTGACGAGTACGTTTACCTGGGACAAATAGTCCGACTAGGTAAGTCCAACTTCGACCGAGAGGTCAATCGACGGATTCAACTCGGCTGGGCAGCGTTCGGGAAATTACGACACATCTTCTCGTCAGGTATACCTCAATCTCTGAAAACTAAAGTGTACAACCAGTGCGTGTTGCCAGTGATGACTTACGGATCAGAGGCGTGGTTCACTGCTGGCCGTATGAGGACGCTCAAGGTCGCTCAGCGAGCTATGGAGAGGGCTATGCTCGGAGTTTCTCTGCGTGATAGACTCAGAAATGAGGATATCCGCAGTAAAACCAGAGTGACAGACATAGCCCAACGGATTAGTAAGCTGAAGTGGCAATGGGCCGGCCATATAGCTCGAAGAACCGATAACCGATGGGGAAGAAAGGTTCTCGAGTGGCAGCCTCGTACCGGTAGGCGTAGTGTAGGGCGACCCCCCACTAGATGGAGTGACGACCTGGTAAGATATGCAGGAAGTCGATGGATGCAGGTGGCTCAGGACCGTGCTTTGTGGCGTTACTTGGGGGAGGCCTATGTTCAGCATTGGACTTGTGAAGGGCTGTGATGATGATGATGGTGATGACGATGACTTCTACTAAAAAAGAGTTGAAAACAGGAATTTTATTTCATGTAACAGAAATTTCAATTTAAACTAAGGAGTGTATTAGAGCGAGTGCATAGTACGAGCTTATGAACGCCATTGAAGTTCGTGGTCTGCCTGGGTGATAGAAACACAATATAAGCTGCCATGCAAAATATATATGTCAAATAATATTATCAAGAACATATATAAATTGTAGCTTTATTGGCTTTATTTAAATAACGTAAATTATATTAAAAGAATCATTCTTTTTAACTTATCTACCATGACCTTTATACTATCAAAGGTGTTTTTCGGTAATTTTTATTAAATATTTCAAGATATCAACGCCTTATTATTTTCACGTTTTTTTTGGTCAATTTTTTACACCTTCTACACCTGAGCGTCCTCTATAACAAGCGCTGGTCAAACTGAAGAGTCCCCATTTGATATACCTCTGATGTCGGAGACTAACTGAAAAAAACGTGAAGCTTATTGAAATACCGTAAGTCTGCTGCTTACTGGCTCTTAGAGCATAAATGGGTAGGTCTGACCATTATTCAAAATACGTCCAGATGTGCATTCAGCTCTCATGGTCTACATCTAGGTCTCGTTTTTCTTCGTACCCATATGGGTCGGGACTGTGGACTTGTTTCACTTGCATATGCAGTCTTTGACCTGCCATTACCGGTTCATGATTTAAATCCGCGCTGCCCTGCTGTTCAATAAGTGTCTTAGCTCCAACGATGTATCTGTTTCCTGCAACTTTGGTTGGAGCGGATGGTACTGTCGGGTCAGTATTCGAATTGCAGATAGATATACAGTGGAATATCGGTAGCTATAATTTTAATGGAAATTCTATAAATTTCGAGTTAATGAGTTTTCGACTTTTCCCAAAAATAAACAAACGCGAAAGTCGGTAACTTAACTTCCTTTAAACTTACCTTAAAAATGTCTACTTAATACGAAACATTGAAATATGTGATATTAACTTAACTTGAGTGTATATGGTTTTTTTTATCAATGCATTTTATAGACGTAGTACCTTCCTCAGGGAAGCTCATCTAAATATCTGATTATATTCATGGCATCAATTTAAAAGAATTTTCATAATTTAATTGTTTTCAAAATTGTACTTAGGCAGTTGAGACTTTTTATACTTCTGGACAGTAAAGACTGCAACGGTGCTGTGTGCAAAAGGCAGTTGGTCATACCCCGCGGCTATACCGTCGTGTGGCTTGGGAAGTAGCGAGGAAAAGAGGCAGAGACGTAGTGTAGCCATAATACTCGTCATTTCGCACGTCATGCTCTTCGTAATGCCTATCGCTCCCTGTTTTGTAGGTTTTTTGGGCGCGAGTCAAAGGATTGGCAATATGAGCACGAGTGGCTGGCCACACACTCGCGCAAACGCAGCCCTAATCGAGCGCTCGTTGCTGAAGCACGTAACGTGTCATTTAAAAATCATAAATAGTGGACCTATCATCCAATATAAAATACTACTACTACTACTCAGCCATATTATCACATGAGTAAATAAAATACATAGAAAAAGCTATCTCGAGGACAACTTATATCCTATACCTTTAAACGAGCACTTCTCATATATATATATATATATATATATATATATATATATATATATATATATATATATATATATATATAATCGGAATCTCGGAAACGGCTCCAACGATTTTCATAAAATTTAGTGTCCAGAGGGTTTTGGGGGCAATAAATTGATCTAGCTAGGATTCATTTTTAGAAAATGTTATTTTGTCCGTAAACACGGAGGCAATGAAAAACTGCTACAATATAAGAAGGTAAATTTTGACCTTATGTTAATGATCGTAATACAGCTATTTCCGCCCTATATCCACTTCATATACCATACATATAGACCGCCCGATATCCACTTCAGCAAGTGGATATCGGGCGGTCGCGATATCGTAGTGCCATGGTTCGCGCCTCATCTTCGGTCCAACTCTTTTTCCTTTTTCTTTAAGTTCCCTTCTTTTATGAGAAAATCTATTACTTCGAGCCCTTTTTTAAGTATTTTATTAAAAATACGAAAATTTAAATTAAACTAATTGCACTCATGATTTTTTATTCAAATAACCAGTTCAGTTTTTTCTATTATGTCAATAAGATTAAAAAATATTATTCATATTTCATCAGTATGTAATTTGTATCTAAATATAATTTCCAAAACACACGATTTCCAAAAAAATACCGAGGAAAGCACGGTCATCCAAGTACTTTATTTTTATGACTTTTTGATAATTAGCTATAAAAACGAAACGGATAGCTGTTTGGCCGGATATTCGGTTAGTCTTATGGCTGAATAGCCGGATATCTGGCCGCCGAATATTCTGCGAAACATTGCCGTTTGGTGCATCGCAAGAAGCGAAAAGTCATTGCAAACTGCTCGCGATCGTAACCCTCATATTATGGTGATGTGGTGGGCAGGTATTGCTGCACAATCTATCAAAGTTTGCCAAAATCTATCTTTCAGCACCCTGCAGCAGTGTGTACAGGGAAAGACTTTTTTCCGAAGCAAACCTTGTTCATGAAGACAGGCAAAACCGCTTGCTATCTTTCATGCAGAGAAATTTGTATTTATTCACCAACATTTGCCCTTAGCTACGTAGTACTATTATTTTTTGTGTGCTTTAGCGCATTACGCGTACTAATTTTGTAAGTTTTAAAATGGAAATTTTGTGATTACTGATTATTATATTTGTTAAGTGACATTAAATGAAGTACTTAACTAAATTTGAAATTTTGTGTTTTTTTTAATTCGGTATCCGGCCGGATAGCTCTCTGTTATCCGGTATACAGCCGGATAGTAATTTAAGAAAAAGAAAATAATTATTATTAGGGATGCATTGTACTCCTTTTTTATAGAAGAATGGGGCAAACGAGCATGCGGCTCACATGATGGTATGTGACTACCCTCACCGATGAACAATTGTAACACCAGGGTAATTGCAGGTGCGTTGCTGGCCTATTTGAAAGGAGTAAGCTCTTTTCTTGAAGGTTCCTAAGTCGTATGTTGTTGTTTAACAACACTTATGCACTTATTCTATAAGCAGTTGCAGCGCTTAGAGCCATGGGCTCGAATCCTGCACGAAACAAATTTTTATGACCTGCAAATAATTGTTCTGGGTCTCGATGTTTGTCCTTGTAAAATTTATGTATATAAACTTTCTCCACAATACAGGAAAAATTTCTAGTGTGAAAGGTAAGGTTTTTATAAAAAAAAAAAAATAAAGATGACTAGCTATATTTAAAATGTTAATGTACCCATTAACTATCACATCTTTCTAGCAGTACAATTTTTTTCCAAATGTTTCTAATTTAATAATAAAATTTCCAGGATATGATTGTCCCCCTGTATCCAACATGTATGAATTAGTATCGGTGCTCGCTGGTGGTTCCATCACTGCAGCTAAATGTCTTTTGCTTGGTATTTCCAATGTTGCTATTAATTGGTGTGGTGGATGGCATCATGCTCACAGGTAATAATAATGGTCAATATTAATTTATTTCACCTACATACTGTTGATAATAATTATTATTTAATATAAAAATATCATTGTTTATTTTTATTTTATACACATGCAACAGAAAAACATTTCCAACCAAGATTCGTTGTTTACATATTATTTATAATAACTCAATAAATGTCAAAGTTACAGCAAATATAAATCCATTAAAAATTAAAAGTATTCTAAGTTTAAGTTCCCATATGACGCAACGCGACGCGACGTAGCTTGAAGAGGCCAGAGGTTAACCACCCACACTCAGGCGTGGAGTAGCTTGGTCGTGGATGCTCAGCGAGGGATTCTCCAGGGGTGCTGGTACCCTCCTGGGGTAGTCTTGCATTTAATTCCGCTACCGTTTTTAGGAGGGGGGGGATTGGGCCTCATCAGACGAAACGCTGAGCAAAGCCTTTACTTCACGCTGGTCTTCTCTGAGGTCGTGGTACCACCCCGGTTTGAGCCGGCCCATGCGTGCAGCAGCAAAGGCTGCCGCGTGGCTCTACCACTGTTAAAACTTACTTCTCTATCCAAGTATCTATTTACTTTACCTAAACTTGTCTTTTATAATAAAAATATTTTATGTTATAATAACACAAAATACTGATATTAAAACTTTGTTTACTTACAAGATTTTTAACTAAGTAGAATACGATCACATTTCTGTTAGGAATCGTGTTTCAGGTTTATTCGTTGTTTACACTGTCTACCTATTTCTTCCGAGACAAGCATCCCGATTTCCGACGAATGGCCTTGCAAGTTGCATGCGTTGGGCATCACAGAACTTACATATAGTATGTGCCAAATCATTTGAGAAAAACGGACAATGACCTCAGATATGAGCCGAGTGTCAAAAGGCGTAACTTACAAAATCTCAATTTAGATGTGATAACAATATTTAAATATTGATATTATTCACACTTCTAGGTCAGCACATATGTTTTGTTTTTTTTTTGTTTCTTAAATTATTTGTCTGTGGTACCTATAAACATCGTAAAATCTTACGGTACATCGCGAAAAATGTGTTATATTTTATATTTCAATTTATGGTAAGTAACGCAGCAATTCATTTAATAACAGTTTCATATTAAAAAAATATTTGAAGCAATATAATCACCATATTGAGCTTTTGCAAATTCATCCCTTTAAAATAAACAAAACGCGCGTTACGTAAGTTCGTTCTAAACAAAACGTGACAATGGCAGCCAGAGATGCGTCACATTTTTTGGGCCGGTCCGCCATTTTGTTTTCATTCGTGTTCGGATAGCGCTTGCGTGTGTACCGTCTCGGGTAATTCATAGAATTCACTGCATTGTTTTAGTTGAGTTTTTATTGTTAAATTTGTTATGTCGTTAAGTTTTGTTGTTGAATCTGTTATATTAGTTTAGGTTGAACTTAACTTAAGGTTAAAGAAAAAATGCGTGGCATGGATGATAAAATTGACCAAACTGCAGATCGCTTTATAATTAATGTTACAGACAGTTCATCTGAATACACATCAAGTGAAGATACGAGTGATGATTGCACCGAATAAAAATAAGGTTCTTATACAATATTGAAAATAAAGTTTTATCTTTTGAATAAGTACGTACTTATTCGGTGTCGTTATCACTCGAATCTTTATATGTGTTATAAATTAATGCTTTTTGTTGTTAAATGAATAAAGTACTTTAAAACAATAGATGATTTTTCTTCTACAGCGATTTTTTACATAACTTTTTAATAATAGTTTATAAATATATATTATATCAATCATTATAAAAAAAACATTATAAATAAAGAAAGTACTACATATAAAATGTGCCTATATATTGTAGGTTTGTATAACCCCTGGTTAAACGACCGAAAGGTCTTTGTCCGTTTTTCTCAATCGATTTGGCACATACTATAGGTGTGAAAATATGGTCAGCCGATCATCCCTAGAATAGGTACTTCACCTAGTATACGACCAACCAGCAGCGATACGAAAGGTCATTTACTTTAAAAACTACTGTGACAATCTCTATCTATCTCTTTCCATCTTGTGTATTTGTCGTAATATCTCGTTTTCCCGGCAAAAAACAGAAGTTGCATGATTGTCACGCTTTTGTTTGTCAAAACGGGACATTTTTACGTATACGTTGAGGACAGCGCGACACAAATCTTTAAATCGGGAACGTCCTTCCTAAAGAGGGACGTATGGCCACGTTAGGTATGAAGTTAGTCGAGACACGGGGGAGTGCGGGCGACGCCGACGATATGTTTGCAAGTTCACGTCACATTTCAATGTTTACATTGTGTGTTAGCTTGAGCGAATATATTATAATGTAAAATATTGTGAGTTGAAAATTTATATATTTTTAAGATTTTTAGTGAAAATGGAGGGAAAGAGTGTTCCTTGTGATGAATATATGTATGTTAAAGTGCTAATGGGCGAGGAAAAGGTAAAAATTTTAATTCAATAAACATTTCTTCACACTTTAATAGGTACAGGGCTTCTTTTTTTCTTCACACTTTAATAGGTAAAGTTTAATTATTCTAGGCGTATTTAAAGGTTGAATATCTCAATACTTATATTACCATATGAGTTAAAAATATCATTTTGAACTGCAGCATAAAATATGAGATACCTAGGTATAAGTTTATTTTTATAGCAAATAATTGTTACAATCTTTTTTTTAAGGTGAAGCCCAAATTTTAAAGTAATAAATTAAATGAATACATCATGTCTTGAGGTTTTTAAAGAATATTTCCTTTAGTCTTCAGTATATTAAATTTTAATAGCGCCATCTACTTAATTCTATAGGTGAAGTCATTTTATCGAACGAAAATTGATTGATTCTCCCGGTGGTACTACGGTCATACAATCTATCTAGCGGTAGTATGCCTTCTGTGTGCTTTGTTAAACACGTGAGAACGTGTTATGAATCTGAACAGTGGGGACAGATCAAGATTGGTGTATTTTTATAAAACTGCTAAAAACAACAAAACCATATCTTGGGCTTGTCCTAGTTTGGAGCCCTTGCTTCGCCACTGGTCCAAAGGTATGTATAGGAGTAGGATATATATGAATGTTGTTTAGTAGTTTTAATTAAAACTTCTTGGTTCGCAGTGTACTTTAAAGTTATCTTAAAGTTATTTATAAAACAGCAACTGTAATAATACATATAAACTTTTCTTAATTTATTAAAGATGCATGTAAGTAAAGGTATGTATTTCATTTTAATTTAATTTTTAATTTTTGGGTGACTAGTTTTACTCTGAATGAAAAAAAAATATGGTCATTAATACCTACAAATATGTTAAAGAATTTTTTTGGTTTGCTAGACATTTTTTAAAACTATATTGTCTACTAAAATATATAATCTAACTATCAAAAAGTTACGCACCCCTGCTATTCCTAATAACCTTGCATTGGTTTTATTTACATTTGGTAATGCTTTTTGTTGGCCGTAGTATAGTTTAGTTTACGACTGGCTGTTTTCCGCAACTCCACGTCTAAGCGCGTATTTTGCGTGTGGGCAGGAATAATGTGATTATTCGAGCCATGAAATCTCCCCGAAGAAATTCAACAGTCCTTTGATGTTGCAAGCAACTTCGGGGAGTGATACCGGCGTATTGAGATGTTTATCCTGTATGCAGCGACCTCCGGTCATGTCAGCAACACGTGCTCCTTCGTTTCTTCTTCCCCCATACATACCCTGCACAGGGGACTATCTGTAACACCTATGGTAAATTAATGTTTCTTAAACGAGCTATGTCCTGTGATAGCACTTGTTACTATCGTGATCTGTGGCTTGTTTACTCTCATTAGAACCTTGGTTAAACGAGTGTTTATTTTAGGCAGGCTCTCTCTATCTTGTCTAAAGTCTTCTAAATTTTTCCAAAGCTGAGCGTGTAGATTAGTAAAATTTCTATGTACCAGTAAACTGACGTTACTAAAGGGGATTGGTATTATTGGTTCCGGTCCTATAGTGGCCAGAGGCGATCCTCTTTTGGTTAGTTCGTCTTCGTCTGCTGCATCGTTGCCTCTGGATCCACTGTGTCGCTTTAGTCATTGCAGAATCACATTGTTGTGTTTACATATCTCATTTAATCGTTGATGGCATTAATATATTAGTCCCGAATTCACCACATAGCAACTCAGAGCTTGTAGTACCGCCATGCTATCGGTCAGTATTCTGATGGAGAAGTCTTTTACCTTCCTAGCATCTATTGCTATGGCCGCTTGGATGATATCCATACGTTCCGCCTGAAAGACTGTTTTCAGAGAAAGTTCCAGATCCTACACCTTTTGTTTTAGAAACATCCGTACAGCTCAGCGAGGTATGGCGATGGCTACGCTCCTTTCTATGCATGGTAGAATCCAAAACGATGCAGGCGCAGTTCAAAGGATCATTAAACTGGAGTGGCAATGGGCCGGTCATATAGATCATATAACCGGTATCCGATGGGGAAGAAAGGGTGGTCCGAGGTGGAGAGCCGAACAGAGGTGGCCACTCCGAGTGGGCTTTGCGGGCTCACTTCGGATGTGTGTTGGTGGACTGCGGCGAGAGACGGAGGAAGAAGAGTATTGGTCTGTCGAGGCACCACTCGTCCAATCCATCGCGACTCTGGCGGGGCCGCACCGTTGATGCGATGGTCGTGGGGCTGTGGAATGAAACAGAATGACGGTATTACGAGGCGCTGCTCTCCTACTCTCCGCGGCCGAATTTTGGTTGGAGCACTAGTGGCATTTGGCACTTGGTGGTAGCGACGGATCTGTCCACGCTGTCTGCTGGGGTCAAGAAGTGCTTTCAAGTGCTCGTTTTTGCTCCGCACATCGGATGCGGGAGGTCCTTAGCGCAAGTGAAGTTAGAGGCTGCAAAGGAAGTTGCGCCTTGTGTTCTTGTGCGCCTTACCAGAGAAGAAGATAAATAGTTCCTTTCCTAAGAAGGGGTCAGCACTGGTTGGGTCGTGGATGTGTGCGAAAGCGTTTCCGTGGCGCTGCCAATTTACTGCGTAGGTGGAGCACGATGGGGTTTTTAGTCGGTGCAAGTCCTACATAACCCATAAAGCGGTTATGCATGTAAAAGAAAAAGGTAGACATAGTTAAACATTTTCAGGACATTGTCTGTAGAGTTTCAGCGGTACCTCATTTCGAAACGGTAAAATTGAAAAAAAAAATACATTAGACAAAAGAATTTTTTTTCTTTCTTTGTAGAAATAAATGTATTTTATTTCTTTGTTTATGGTATTCCTTGGTAGGCTCTGATAAGCAGTAGATTTGTGAAAAGTTGTTATGATAATCATAATTAATATTTAAACAATAAGTATCTTTTTAAAGGTTTACATTTTTCTCTTCCAGATTCGGAGCTGAGGGATTTTGCTATGTTAATGATATTGTGTTAGCTATTGAAAAGTTAAGACTGAAATTTAATAAAATACTGTACATAGATTTGGATGTCCATCATGGTAATTTAAATAAATAATATTAAGTCTTAGTTTTTGTTAAGGAGTTTCTTTTGTGACTTAGGTAGTAATAGTTCGGAAAAGTAATATATATATATATATATATATATATATATATATATATATATAAAATATATAATACATAATACATACAAAAGTAATATATATATATATAATATAATATATAATACATTACTGCTGCTAAAAAATTAAATTTCTTTTAAGCTGTGCGAAATTATATTTTAATCCTCATGAAGATAACACACCTGAGCATTATTATTTTAAAATTGAATGCAGGTATCTTTGGTGTAGCCACTTACCATCAGGTGGACCAGCAGCTTGTTTGTCACACTAATTATGAAAAAAAAAAATACATTAAATAAATAATAAACATTAACACGGTGTGTCTTTGGCTTGGTATACCTATAAAAATAATAGTGACACAAAACTCGGTGCTCATCATCATCATCATCATCATCATTACAGCCCTTCACAAGTCCACTGCTGAACATAGGCCTCCCCCAAAGCATGCCACAAATCACGGTCCCGAGCCACCTGCATCCATCGACCTCCCGCATGTCTCACCAGGTCGTCACTCCATCTAGTGGGGGGTCGCCCTACACTACGCCTACCGGTACGAGGTACCGGTCGAGTTCTTCGAGCTATATTCACATATTCTTATCTTGCAGATCGGAGCATCAAGGTCGTTGTAGACGGTGCAAGCTCCGATTGCAAGCCTATTAATGCTGGTGTTCCACAGGGCTGTGTGCTATCGCCAACGCTGTTTCTTCTGCATGTCAATGATATGTTGCAAACCCGTAACATTCATTGCTATGCGGATGACAGCACTGGTGATGCTCTTTACACCGGCCGAGCCAATATTTCTCGGGAAAACGTCTCCGAGTGCCGGGACAAACTTGTATCTGAAGTCGAGTCTTTGCTGAACAGAGTCTCGGATTGGGGGCGACTAAATCTAGTCCAGTTTAACCTCCAGAAGACACAAGTTTGCGCGTTAACCGCTAAAAAGAACCCCTTTGTCGTATCCCCTCAGTTTCAAGGCACTCCCCTTGTTGCCTCAGCCAGTATCGGAATCCTCGGCGTCAATATATCGAGTGACGTGCAGTTTCGTTGTCACTTGCAAGGGAAGGCCAAATTGGCCTCTAAAAAGCTTCGCTTGCTCAGCAGAGCGGGACAGTATTTCATGCCGGCACACCGCCTGCAACTTTACAAGGCCCAGGTTCGGCCGCACATGGAATACTGTTCCCATCTCTGGGCTGGGGCTCCCCAGTACCAGCTCCTTCCACTTGAACGCATCCAGCGCAGAGCGGCTCGAATCGTCGACGACCGAGTGCTTTCTGATCGGCTAGATTGACTGGCACTGCGAAGAGATGTTGCATCTCTTTACATTTTCTTTCGTATATACCATGGAGAGTGCTCTGAGGAATTGTTCGGATTAATCCCAGCCGCCAAATTTCGTGAACGCATTACGCGGCAAACGTCCCGATACCATCCACACCATCTGGATGCTTGGCGGTCCACCACTGTACGTTTCAAAAGGAAGTTTTCTTCCGCGTACAACCTCTCTGTGGAATAGTTTACCAACGGCGATTTTTCCGGACCGATACGACCTGGGGACCTTCAAGAAAAGAGCTTACTCCTTTCTAAACGGCCGGCAACGCACCTGCAATTCCCCTGGTGTTGCGGTTGATCATGGGCGGCGGTAGTCACTTAACATCAGGTGAGCCGCATGCTCGTTTGCCCCCTCTTCTATAAAAAATATGGCCGGCCCATTGACACTTCAGCTGACTAATCCGTTGGGCTATGTCGGTCACTCTGGTTTTACTGCGGATATCCTCATTTCTGAGTCTATCACCCAGTGAAACCCCGAGCATAACCCTCTCCATAGCTCGCTGAGCGACCTTGAGCGTCCTCATACGGCCAGCAGTGAAGGACCACGTCTCAGATCCGTAAGTCATCACTGGCAACACGCACTGGTTGTACAATCTAGTTTTTAGAGATTGAGGTATACCTGACGAGAAGATATGTCGTAATTTCCCGAACGCTGCCCAGCCAAGGTGAATCCGTCGATTGACGTCTCTGTCGAAGTTGGACTTACCTAGTCGGACTATTTGTCCCAGGTGAACGTACTCGTCAACAACTTCGAGCATAGTGCTCCCAACAACTACCGGCATAGGTGTGACATGGACATTAAACATGATCTTTGTTTTGTCCATGTTCATCTTAAGACCTATCCGTTGGGAGGCACTATTGAGGTCATTGAGCATAGTGCTTAAGTCCTCCAGCGATTCTGCCATAAGGACACATATATCGTCGGTAAATCAAAGGTGAGTGATGTACTCGCCATTGATGTTAATGCCGTATCTTATCCAGTCCAGTAGCTTGAAAACGTCTTCCAATGCAACGGTGAAGAGTTTCGGGGATATAACGTCACCCTGTCTTACACCTCTCTGCAGTTGGATAGGTTTCGAGCTCTGGTTCTGTACTCGGATAGCCATCGTAGCCCTACTGTACAAACGCTTCAGCACTTCGATATACCGACAGTCAACTTGGCATCGCTGAAGGGACTGTAGCACCGCCCAAATTTCGACAGAATCAAAGGCTTTCTCATAGTCCACATACGCCAGGCAAAGCGGCAGATTGTACTCTTCGGTCTTCTGTACAATCTGCCGCAGGGTATGTATGTGGTCTATGGTACTGAAGCCTTTTCGGAAACCGGCTTGTTCGGGAGGCTGGAAGTCGTCGAGTCTGCGTGCGAGACGATTCGTAATGACTCTCGAAAACAACACGTAGACAATGGAATGGAAATCGGTCTGTAGTTCTTCAAGAGAGCGTTGTCGCCTTTTTTGAAGAACAAGACCACCGCACTTCTGCTCCACGCCTCTGGAGTAGTGCCACCATGGAGGACGGAATTGAAGAGCTTCTGAAGGACTTCAAGTACCGGTGTTCCACCCGCTTTCAGAAGCTCCGCTGTAATTCCATCCTCGCCTGGGGCCCTGCAGTTTTTAAGGTGCTGGAGAGCCATTCTAATCTCGCTTAGACTGACGTCCGGGATATCATCGGAATAGTGTCGGATAAGACTTGCTCTTGGATCGTTACTCACACTTGCGTGTGGCTCCAACGATGATGTGTACAATTGCCCATAGAACCTCTCAATCTCACTCAAAATCTCAGGTGTCCCGGAAACGATGCTGCCACACTCAGTCAGCTTTGACAGTTGTCTCTTACTGGCAAACAGATCTCTGGCAAAAACTTTGGAGCCCTGGTTCCGCTCGATCGCTTCTTTAATACGAACAGTATTAAAGTTGCGTAAGTCTCGCCGCATGCATAAGACTTGCTTTTGGATCGTTACTCACACTTGCGTGTGAGTGACGATCCGACGAGCGAACCTCTCAATCTAACTCAGAATCTCAGGTGTCCCGGAAACGAAGCTGCCACACTCAGTTTTCAGCTTTGACATTTTGCTCTTACTGGCAGACAGATCGCTGGCAATGACTTTGGAGCCATGGTTCCGCTCGATCGCTTCTACAATACGAGCTCTATTGAAGTTGCATAAGTAAATTGTAGATCTGTCTGTTCAGTTGCTTGTATGCTGTCAAATCTGTTGACGATTGCAACCTCATCTCCCGTCTAACAGCCATGAGATTAAGAGTGTGATCGGAGAGTTTTTGTGTTCTTCTGGGGTGGGTCTTGCAGAACTTGGCTCCGACCGCATGGACAGTTTCCACGAGTTTGTCATTCATATCGTCCACTGCATTGCAATCTTGTAGGCACTGAAAGCGGTTACATAACTGGAGCTGAAAGGTTTCGGGATTCTGGATTAGAGCACGAGGGGCACAGAGCTTTGACTTCATTAGACGAGACCTCTCCAACTTAACGTTTAGGTTCAGTGTGCCTCTAACCATTCGGTGATCGCTGCCAGTTTTCACCCTTGCGATCACTGAGACATCACTGAACAGTTGGAGTCTGGTCGTCATAATGAAGTCAATCTCATTTTTTGTCGAACCGTCGGGGCTCGACCAGGTCCACTTCATGTGGGGCCGCTTCTGGAAGAAAGAGTTCATCATAAAGAGTCCCTCTTTCTCCATAAAGTCTGCCAGCTGCTGGCCCCTTCGGTTCCGTACTCCAAATTTCCCTAACTTCAGCTCACCGTTTTCTCTTGTGCTTAGTTTTGCGTTGAAGTCTCCCATCAACACCGTGTAGTGGGGTTTGGAGGAATGCATAGCTTTGGAAATATCCTCATACATTTCCTCCACCTCCTCATCGGGATGTGCCGAGGTTGGTGCGTAAACCTGTATGACCTTCAGCGAATACCGTTTGGTGATTCTTAGTATCAGGTACGCGACCCTCTTCGACACACTCCCAATCTTTACAACGTTGTTGACGAGAGACTTGTGGACGATAAATCTGATACCTCCTTGGGACAGATGGTCGCCCTCCCGGTGATAGAACAAGTTGCCGGATTCGAGAATCACCGTGTCCTCCCCCTCTCTTCGGACCTCGGATAATCCTACAATGCTCCAGCGCAACTTGTCTATCTCTTCTTCCAGCTCCAGGATCTTCTCGTTAGTCCTCAGAGTGCGTGCGTTATATGTTGCCGGGTCGAGTCGTCGTAGGTGGCAACCGAACCTCCACCGGAGATTCTTAGCACCCCCTGCCCCGCCGTTACCATGGTCGCCACTGTAGTCAGGAATAGCGGGGCCGCCGGGGACTGGGGGCCGTTTGTTTGTGTCGTTGCTCATGGGGGGATGTTTGCCATAGTTGCCACGCTTGGCGAGCGGGTTGGCAACCGCAGTTTTTTTTGTGTAATTGTTGTTATCAGGAAGATGCTGCTGCCCATCTCCTGCGTGTTTCCCTCTGTCGCCTCTTACGACACCCACGGTAAGACATGGGGTAGTGGATATTCTCAACCGCCACTACAGGGCCCGGTGTAGGCCATAGAATACTATAATACATACATAATAGAACGGGGGAGTGGGCGGAGCCCGTGTAGCCACTAAAATGCCACTAACACGTCAATCAATTCACACGTATAAATATCAACACGAGATGTGTTTTGAGTTTTGACGTTACAATAGTTTCCAAATTTCGCATGCAAATTATTTAGAAAATGCCAAATTGCACGCTATTTACAAATAAATATGTATTAAAATCCATCTGTCAACACAGCGAATCAGGTTTGTAGTAGTGATTAACTGATAATACGACGTAATTGCTTGTATGTGTGCTCCCGGCGACGCCTATCGTCGTACAATATAATGTTGACAACCATTCTATTGTGTATTATAGTATTCTATGGTGTAAGCTATCACTCAAGAAATAATAATTAATAAACATATACATATACAAATAATAAACATTTGTATTGGTGTGGCTTGGACTTTGCTATAACTGTGAATATAATTGTGCCACTAAACACTTATTATGCAACTTACTTAACAAACTTACTAAAATAAAAGTAATGACAATTAATAATTTAGTATAAGTAATGTAATACTGAATTTAGATTAAAAACAAGTTTTTCATTACAGGCAATGGTGTACAAGATGCTTATAATTTAAGTAAATCAGTATTTACTTTATCTTTTCATAAATTCGAACCAGGTTTTTATCCAGGCTCAGGTGGTATAGATGATATTGGTACTCATACAGGCAAAGGTTATAAGTGTAATTTCCCACTTCATGCATTTTACACTGATAGAACTCTAGAGTTCGCATTTGAAAAGTAAGTAGTTTTCACTTATATTTATGATACAGTCATTACGAAGACAACCCTCACGAAATACTTTATAATAGGTATTGTTAAATGAACTTTTAAAAATACCTACAGCTAGATTTTTTGTAAGTTTCCTAGAGTATCGTGAAGATTTTTTACATATAGTTCGTAGGCAACCAAGCTTCCTTCGGCGTTACAAACAAAATATATAATAAACTTTTAAAGTTTAACATGAGCGGAGGTTAGTCTACTCCTAACTTTTTGGCATTATCAGTAGGAGTAGATTAACACCTATTCTGCTCTCCTGTCCGGCGAACAGTTAGGCTCTGGGGGAGAGCGCAGGTCCTCCACGTGGTTGCCGCCTGTTATTTGGTCTGGTTTAATAGGAAACAGACAAAACAGAAACACTCAGACGATTCTCTTCTTCTTTTATTTTATCCTACCCCCTTTTTCTATAAATTTTAAAAAGCCTGATGGTAACTTCACTAATAGTGAAACAGAAACATTGGAGTTACTAGCGTCAAACAATTTCCCATGGTCACATAAGACTTCCGCCTTCAATTCTTTCAGAGCCCTACGAAGGTCTTGTAATGAGGACTGGTGTAGGGCTGCAAAGATAATAAGGCCAAACCTGAGCAGTGGGCTGTTGACTGCTTTAAACCATTTAAAACAAGCGGGAAGGATGGAATAATTCCCATCCAACTACAGAGGGGTATCGATATCCTTCTTCCCTATCTGGTGAAAACCTTCAGAGCAAGTTTTGCATGGGGATATATTCCAGAACGATGGACAATTGTCAAAGTTCTATTTATACCTAAGGCTGGTAGAAAGGACTACGCTTTACGAAAGTCCTTGAGACCCATAAGTCTATCTTCCTTTCTTCTTTTTCAGACATTGGAAAAGGTTATAAGTAGATATATAAGGGATATAGATCTAGCTACAAGGCCCATACATTACAACCAGCATGCTTACAGCAGAGGCAAATCTACGGAAACAGCCCTGATCAGTATCATTGACGGGGTCGAAAAAGCACTGAAGGACAAAGAAATAGCTCTTTGTGCCTTTCTAGATATTGAGGGCGTTTGCGACAGTAGCCCCACATCACTGCTGATTGGGGGCCTGACATCCAAAAATGTTGACCACACAACTATCAGATGGGTGAAGTCGATGCTCTCAAACAGAAAGCAAAAAATAGCGCTGTTTCACACTTCGACTCGCAACTACAAGAGTTTTCCGAGTATTGGGATATATGCGTCTTTTAGTGTAAAGCAAAGCTTAATGTACGAAAATATTTTGTTTTAATACTAAAAAACAACACTATAAAATCACCAAAACTGTCCACTACAATGTCATTTTTTTCCGTGTATTGGGATATAAGCTTATCTATTTTAATTATTTTATAAAAAAACAGGTAATGTTAAAAATCGCAAAAAAATTTTGCTCGTTTTATTCCGTCAATTATTTTATATGATTATTTTACAAATACTGTAAATCATCACGCGCAGAGCGCAGACGCCGTCCGATTCAGTACGCTCTGGGTCTTCCCAACGATAGGACGTAACACTTTTTCCCGTCATCGCCCGCGTGCGTGTTAAGGCTTTTACATTGCTCAAATCGTTAAACCCGGGCGTTTTCACGCCCACACTTTTGACAAAAGGTTATAGGCCGAATACTTTTGTTTATTTGCTACAAAAAAAATTAGGTTTTATAGTTTAGATCGTCACAATTTATTTGTATTGTTTAAAATTTTTACAAAAAAAAAATCAAAGGCAAAGGCTGTTTTAAACCTATTTTGTATTTTTTCTCAAGAACGGCTCAATAGATTTAAGATTAAATTTATATTAAAATATTTGTTAAATCATAATTAAAAAAATGTATCGTTTTTTATTATATTTTTGTTAAATATATTTCTTAAAATGTAGTAAAATATAATTTGGCCCTTTCCGCCACCCGAAGCTCCCCCGCTATGGCCCATTACGGATATTCACCGGTGTCAGTTCGACTCTTGCGACGGGTGGACTGTGCACGCGTTATTTTCTGACAAAAATATTAAAAAGTTCGCAATATTTCAAATTTATTTAAACAGATTTGTTGTAAATAAAACGTACATTAGTAATATATGATAAAAAAATTAGGAATTAAGTTGATTTATGTAAATAAAATTGTTTTTAGTTTTACAATGTTTCGTATATAATCGTATCATAGAATAGACTAAGCTTGACAATGCCGAAATACAAAAGCAAGACAAAAGTGAAGCGTGGCCAAGCTCTTCAAAACTATTGATAAGTAAATTATCCTTATTTATTTTCTCTTGTGTAAATACTTATACAGAGTATGGCAGCGTGCCGAAAACTGTCGTGTTCCCTCCTATTGTATAGGTGGGGAACTTCTTTAGCCGTAAATAAGCTTGGTACTACAAAAAAGTCTAGTGAAAAAAAATGAACGTGACCATTTTTGGCTGGTTTGATGCTACAGTCCTGCACTCCAGGGTGGGTACAGGATCTCAGTGACGGAACCACGTAGAACCATCGTGTTTGTACTTATTTTAAAGGGCTCGCAGCTACCTAGCTGTCTGTGATGATTTCATTTACCTGATGCTGCACTCCGTAGTAGTCCGAAGGTGGGTACAGGATCCTAGTGGCGGAACCACGTAGTACCATCGTTTTTGTACTCATTTAAAGGGCTCGCAGCTACCTAGCTGTCTGTGATGATTTCATTTACCTGATGCTGCACTCCGAAGTAGTCCGAAGGTGGGTACAGGATATCAGTGACGGAACCACGTAGAACCATCGTGTTTGTACTCATTTTAAAGGGCTCGCAGCTACCTAGCTGTCTGTGATGATTTCATTTACCTAATGCTGCACTCCGTAGTAGTCCGAAGGTGGGTACAGGATCTCAGTGACGGAACCACGTAGATCTATCGTGTTTGTACTCATTTTAAAGGGCTCGCAGTTACCTAGCTGTCTGTGATGATTTCACTTACCTTTTGTGAAAATGCTTTTATTGTATAATGCTTTTGTTGTTGAGAGTGACTGTTGCGATAATATTTCTAATGTAACTTTATGTTTTTAGGCAATTGAGAAATCAGCGGAAATTCCATTCAGAAAATCTGGGCAAAGATCCGTCAACTGAATCTAATGCATTACATTCGTCTACGACTATTGTAGAAACTCACGTTCCGTTCGGTATGGCAGTTGATGAGGACACTTCATCGCCAGATATTACGGTAGCTACTGTCTACAATTAAGAGTACCAGTCTATTTTTAATATTGTTAAATTGAACTTTGTCTCCATTCCTTTTTGGTAAATAAAAACGTACTGAGGAAACCTACAAGTCTGAGAACCCATAAAATTTGAGAAATCCTATCCTATATGGTCAATAAAAATAAGCAAGATAATATTATACACGGAAGTTTTTTTTGTATATGAATTAAGCAATGTATTACATGATAATTATTTTGTTCTCAGCATCAACAAGATGACCTTTAACTATTAAAAGGAATCAACCAGAAACAGAAAAAAGAAATATATCTAGGAGACGAATTGTTGATATAAAATCCTTTTTTTTTAAATTGCAAGAAATCAACAATCATAGCCCATATAACTGTGGAGTACAAAGTTTAAAAATTGTTGGAGAGAAACGAGTTGGATTGTTACCCAAGTTTACTCTAGAATGTTTAATGTGTAAAGGAAAGTTTTTATTAAATAATATCCCAGGTGATCTGGAAAAATACAGAATCAGTCGCTGTTGCATCGATGTGTTAAGAAAAGTGTATTTTAAATGTCTCCGGTGATTTGGACATAAATACAGCTGTGGTTGCCGGTGCAGTTTCTGTTGGTATAGGCTACTCAAAATTAGATGAATTACTATCAGTGATCGATTTACCTATGATGACTAAGCATCTGTACCAAAAATAGCACGAGTTTGTTTCTAACGTCTGGGAAAAAGCACTTGGTCAATCCATGCAAGAAGCCGCAGAAGAAGAAAAAAGAATTGCTTTAGAAAAAAGTCGTGTAACCACTGATGCCACTCCTATTATAGATGTTATTGCTGATGGATGTCGAAGTAAGAGGTCTTATAAAAAGAATTAGGTAGTTTATCGGGTAATGTAGAGATAAATAAAAATCACAACTGGTTCTACCAGGTACAAGGGCAGTTGCACGTGGCTCGCAAAGGAAAATGTGTATTCGCTGTATGGTTCAGTGAGTCGCAACCACTGAAAACGGAAGTTATTTATAGGGATGATGATTTTTTTGAAAACGAAATGAAGTCAAAATTATGCAATTTTTATTTAAATTGTATATTGCCTGAAATTTTAGACCCAAGACATACTAGAAATTTGAAAATACGTAATCCAATCTACATAATTGAATTTATTAAAAAAAGAGAAGAAAAAAAAACTTGAAATCTCCAAGAGGAAAATACAACGCATAATTCCAATTGCTGAGCAGGGAGAAAATACAACGCTTTCCTTATATCAAGAATCGACACGGTCGTCAACACCAGTAATTCTAGAAGCGGAACAACCAACCTGTTCACGATACTTAGATTATAATGAATTTTAACTTGCAAAAAATATTCAACGGTTGATTTAATCTTGACAGATTTATGGTGTGCCTAACATGTTATGATAATATAATTAAAAAAAGTACGCAAAGTTTGTTTCCTCCCTTACTTAATTTAGCACTTACATATATGAGTCAGATCATCACTAGACCTTCAGAATATTTATCGTGGCAACGTCCGTGATAAATATGACAGTAATTGAAAACTAAATCTTTCTCACTATTTCCATGGCCGAGAACTCTTTAAACTTACCTGTTCATCCACATACCTTCACAAAGTGTCACGTAGCAGCGTCCGTGCTGAATATGAGAGTTTCTGAAAATTAAATCTTCCTAACCATTTCCATTGCCGAGAACCACTTGGTACTTACCTGGTCATCCACATATCTTCGCGAAGTGTCACACAGTAGGGTCTGCGTTGAATATGAGAGTTTCTAAAAAGTAAATCTTCCTAACCATTTCCATTGCCGAGAACCACTTGGTACTTACCTGGTCATCCACATATCTTCGCGAAGTGTCACACAGTAGGGTCTGCGTTGAATATGAGAGTTTCTAAAAAGTAAATCTTCCTAACCATTTCCATTGCCGAGAACCACTTGGTACTTACCTGGTCATCCACATATCTTCGCGAAGTGTCACACAGTAGGGTCTGCGTTGAATATGAGAGTTTCTAAAAATTAAATCTTCCTAACCATTTCCATTGCCGAGAACCACTTGGTACTTACCTGGTCATCCACATATCTTCGCGAAGTGTCACACAGTAGGGTCTGCGTTGAATATGAGAGTTTCTAAAAAGTAAATCTTCCTAACCATTTCCATTGCTAAGAACCACTTGGTACTTACCTGATCATCCACATACCTTCACAATGTGGCACGTATACAGAATCCGTGCTGAACATGAGAGTTTCTAAACACTAAATCTTTCTAATCATTTCCATTGCTTAGAACCACCTGGTACTTATCTGGTCGTCCACATACCTTCACAAAGTGTCACGTACACAGAATCCACACTGAACATGAGAGTTTCTGAAAACTAAATCTTCCTAACCATTTCCATTGCTGAGAACCACTAGGTTCTTACCTGGTCATCCACATACCTTCACAAAGTGTCACGTAGGAACGTCCGTGCTGAATATGAGAGTTTCTGAAAACTAAATCTTCCTAAGCATTTTCATGGCTGAGAACCACTAAGGTTCTTACCTGGTCATTCACATACCTTCACAAAGTGTCACGTAGGAACGTCCGTGCTGAATATGAGAGTTTCTGAAAACTAAATCTTCCTAAGCATTTTCATGGCTGAGAACCACTAGGTTCTTACCTGGTCATCCACATACCTTCACAAAGTGTCACGTAGGAACGTCCGTGCTGAATATGAGAGTTTCTGAAAACTAAATCTTCCTAACCATTTCCATTGCTGAGAACCACTAGGTTCTTACCTGGTCATCCACATACCTTCACAAAGTGTCACGTAGGAACGTCCGTGCTGAATATGAGAGTTTCTGAAAACTAAATCTTCCTAAGCATTTTCATGGCTGAGAACCACTAGGTTCTTACCTGGTCATCCACATACCTTCACAAAGTGTCACGTAGGAACGTCCGTGCTGAATATGAGAGTTTCTGAAAACTAAATCTTCCTAAGCATTTTCATGGCTGAGAACCACTAAGGTTCTTACCTGGTCATCCACATACCTTCACAAAGTGTCACGTAGGAACGTCCGTGTTGAATATGAGAGTTTCTGAAAACTAAATCTTCCTAAGCATTTTCATGGCTGAGAACCACTAGGTTCTTACCTGGTCATCCAATACCTTCACAAAGTGTCACGTAGGAACGTCCGTGCTGAATATGAGAGTTTCTGAAAACTAAATCTTCCTAAGCATTTTCATGGCTGAGAACCACTAAGGTTCTTACCTGGTCATCCACATACCTTCACAAAGTGTCACGTAGGAACGTCCGTGCTGAATATGAGAGTTTCTGAAAACTAAATCTTCCTAAGCATTTTCATGGCTGAGAACCACTAGGTTCTTACCTGGTCATCCACATACCTTCACAAAGTGTCACGTAGGAACGTCCGTGCTGAATATGAGAGTTTCTGAAAACTAAATCTTCCTAAGCATTTTCATGGCTGAGAACCACTAAGGTTCTTACCTGGTCATCCACATACCTTCACAAAGTATCACGTAGGTACGTCCGTGCTGCACATGGGAGTGAATATTGTTACAAGGTCTAAAGTGAATAATACGTCAATTCACTAATAGGTCTCTCATTGATCGAATAAAATTATGCAAATAAGTTGTCATATTATCTATACATCGTTAATCTTTGTCTACTATTTACGTAGTGCCATTGTAGTACGTCTGCTTTTGGTAGATGTAACTAAATTAAAAACAAAGTCTTAATCGTCAAAGTTACTGATCATTGTAGGAGCCTTAATTTACAGCGATAGCGTAAGCTAGTATTGCCAAGTGTCCTGATTTGTGCGGGACGTCCCGATTTTTAGGGGTACGTTTCGATGCACCCTTGATCGAGACGCCAAATGTCCCAAATTTTCACTAACCTCCCTACTCTATATTTCAAAATTGAATATATCTGTAAGCTGCTACGACATTACAATACTTTTGCTTTGCATATTTTTCCACCAAACTTGGACTAAATAGGCAACATCAAAGTTTGCTTTGCGCGTAATGTGTTGGCATGGCAAGATACAGATATCAATCATGTATCTATCGCCGGTTTGCGGTATGCATCGATGTCATTAATTCGACGGTCATTTATTATTTCATTCTATTACTAATAATCAGTACAGTATCTAATTGACATGCTGCGCTTTAGATAGGTACATTTAGTAAAATGCAAAAGGCTTGTGGAAAAGTTCTTCCACAAGTAAATTTCTTCAATCGTTTGTAGGTACTGTTGTTTTCAATAAATAAATAAACATACGTCCGATGCAAGGATTTTAATCTAGGCTATCAAGGTGTTAGGTATTAAAACCGTTTGAATTATGCCGTTTTAAAGGGCTTTTTGAAGTGCATGAGATGTGAGTTCAGAAGATTGTTTACTATTTTCACAATTATATTATTTTTAAAGTTCAGTTTGTAACAATGTTGGGACGAAAAATTATTCGTTCATTTGGTCAGTTCTAAATAATAATTATAAAACACATTGCAAATTATGTCGAAAAAACCAGTATAACTAATAGCGACCACAATGGCTACAAAAAATTCTGTTTTTTTGTAGCTATTGTAGCTGTCCCGATTTTAAAACCAAATTCCTGAATTTACCTGGACACACTATCGGAAACGATGAAGGCGCTCTACAGAATAAATAGTTCGCTCAACACAACGCAACGAATGATACTTTGTTAAATGATATTATTTAATTTATTTATTAATAATTTTATAAGTTTATTTAATAGTAAGCAATTTAAAACTAAAATATTTATTCTTGTAAAAGATATATTTGACGGCAGAGTGTCGAAGTGGCTTAGCAATGAGTTTAACTCTAAGGGCCGCGGGTTCGTTTGTTCTTGTTAAATCTGTATTCTTATGTTACCTGCCTCCGCAATATATTGAGGAAACATTCTTAGTGTGAAGGTAACGTTATTATAAAATAGAAACAAAAAAAATGAGCCATGGTTAAGGGCGAAGTGCTCGCCGTAAACGCGAGCAGCCCGGGTTCGATCCCTACCGACACCAATGAAATTGTCATTTTGATGAATTATCTTTATATTATGAAACAGAATATATGTATATCAAACGAAATCTATTTTATATAATACATACTTTTCAATTCGAACATATATTACTGTTGCGCGCCACAGTTGATGGCACTAGCGTCATCTGGTATCAAGTATCAGAAATAGGAGTGTCAAGATCTTTCTGGAACTCTCCCAACAGCGCCATTTAGTATCGAATGGAAGAACTAACCTTTCTAGAAAGCCCCACACGAACTTTCTGCACCTGGTCGGTCGGGGCCGGTATTTGCTTGAACATTCTGGATGTTTCGGTGGAAAAAGCCTATATAAAGCCGTTGAAAGCCGCAATTAGGGCAGTATTGAATTTGGCGATACAAGCGAAGCTTCGGAGCGAACTAAAGCGAACAGTGTGATTAATTATTAGTGTCTTTTAAGTTGTAATTGGTGTTCGGTAATTAAAGTGTTAATTTTGGTAATTCAATCAGCAGTTTTTATTGTCACGAACCCTAAGCTCGTAACATTACCTACCCCTTTCCAGTTGTTAACTTGGCGTTGTGACATTCCTTAGTCTACTCAATAGAGTAAAAAAGAAAATCAGACTTAAATTTTAAAAGAATAAAATAATTTATACATATTAGCTTCCGATGTCAGGGCTAGATCGGATATTAATTCTTATGTACCTATGTCTTAGCTCCGACCTTATAAGCTATTATGAGGAAATTATTTTATTCTTTTAGTTCCAATAGTATCAAGATGATTTATGCTAGATACCACTGTGCTCGCTCCACCTCGAGCAGTCACGCACACAGAGAACATTGTAGTGTGATTCAATATACACTCTTAATGCGCAAATGTAGCAATCATCTGGGAAACTCCGCCCAGAAGAAGTGAAATTGCTCACGGCTAAGCAACTCCTATTCATTGAAGACATAGGGCTTAGTAGTGAACTATAGCCATAGCAGCGATCACAATAGATCTTCTAGGTCGCAGTGATACTGGTCTCTTTCCCTAAACATACATAGCTGCTTGCACAAAAAAAAGTTTATCATTACATTATATATTACATAATTGAATATTTATATATTAATCATCAATCCCATCATACGAATCACAGAAGACAAAGTTAAATGGAGATTGAGTCCAATTTAGGGCTATTTATAAAAATTATAATACCTAATACATTGTTATTATGTTTTATACTTAATTAAATTAATAGTTTGGTTCCTAACTTGTTTTTTGCAGTGGATGTATTACTGAAGTTATTAAAAAATTTCAATAACTGTTTTTCTTTTAGGATCTTCCCTTTAATCTGCTCCAAATTTAAACCCGATGCTGTTGTCATGCAGTGTGGTGCTGATGCACTAGTAAATGATCCTCATGGTGGAGCATGCCTAACAGAACATGGCTATATTATGTGTCTACGGAAAGTGCTAGATTTGCAAAAACCGGCATTGCTTTTAGGAGGCGGTAGGTAGCTATTGGCGCTATAACCAGTCTGACCAGAAAATTAAAACCTGGCAAACAGAGTGCTATAAGTCTATATGGCAATAAATAGTAAAAGTAAAAAAAAACGATTATAGTAACACTCATATTAATGTGTATTACTATAATCGACTCTCAATTTTGGTAAACGTAAAGGGAATTGCATCGCGTGCATCGATTCGCATGTTGCAGGCTCGTTGTACGTTCACACTTTACACCGCGAGTAGTGCGGCTCAGCTTGTACTCGGCTCCTCTAGCGTAGACCCACCTTTACATCTATAACAGTTTGTGTTGTTTATATCGGTTATAGAAAATTGTTATTATAATGAAAATATCTTTATGTATTTTAATGAAACAATAGTATCTAATAAATAATGACGATAAACAACATACATATTAAATAGAAAAAAAATTGTCGAAGCAATTACTATGACGGAAGAAAGATAAAAATTTGAATTTTATTTTAATAGTTAGTCTATATTCATCATTCATAGAGCACCGCACAAAACAAAGGCCGAGATAATAGGAAAGGAAAACAAAAAAAAAGGAAAGGAAACAATATAATGTATTTTAGCTCATTCTCTCGCAGACTAAGTCCTTATATATATATATACGCACTGAAGCACTGGGTTGAACTGTTATGATATTCAATAATTTATAAAACGATTGTCGTTAAACTAAGGAACAAAAATGGAATTAATAAAAGATGCGAAAGACCTTGTGGGATGCCGGGTGTAGTGGCAGACTCACTGCGCGCACCCCGCGACAAACGGCGAGCAATCGACCTGACGCATTCCCCCGATTCTCGGATGTCTCGTTGAGTTAGATGATTCAACAAGGGTTTTTTTTTAACAAAAATGGAGATTCGTGATTCCTTGGTAGTTCACATTCTTCCTATGGTACATACTATCGATACGCTGTCGTTAGTCAAAATTCTGCGACTTACTTATATCGGGACAGCAAACGTTTTGACCGATTCACTATCTTAAGGGATCTATCATACAGAAGCCGTTTAGGCGTTCAAGCGTTCCGCGTTCGCGTTGTTTGTGTTGTATTACGTTATATAGACATACCCAGACAGCAGGCATTCTGACCGCGTCGGTCAACCAGCATATAGGCGTTCGTGATTCGTCAGCAACTGAACGCTCGAACGCAAAACGCGAACGCGGAACGCTTAACCGCTTCCTGTCTGATAGAACCCTAAGCTGCAGGATCTGATTTATGGCATATCCTAAGTATTAACGGTAAGCGCTTAGGTTCATGTCTTATTGCACACCTCGAACATGAAGTGAGGAGGGCTAAACTGTCGACTTGAAAATGTCACGCTACCCGCTCTCAATAAATTTTTATAATTCAAGACAGTGTTTTAGTTCAGTTAGAAATTCGTCGAATTTTGGATTTGACCACTGTCAAATGAACTCTCATAGCCCACTCGACAACACGGAGTCCCACGGCTTTTTATGGTAATCAGCGGAGAAATTGTTAGTGAAAACAAATATACGTCTGATGTCTAGCTTTTAAAGGATATGACTGACAACTCCATACCTAGTTTGTGCAAAGCAAACACTACAAATGTTTTAAACGCCTCAATCCGTAAAATAACAATCACAGTGAAAAATAATATGTGAAATGGCGGCAAATCGAAGTTTCTATATACATATTCCAAATTGTAATAGCATTTTTTTATGGCTGAACTAGAGATATAAAGATTTTCATACAGTTTTATTTGATTATTGAAAGCTAATAGTATCTAACAAGAATTTTGTTTTAGGTGGTTATAAGCACCCAAACGCTGCTAGGCTTTGGACAAACCTTACTGCTATAGTGTCTGGTGTAAAATTGGATGAAAATATTCCAGAACATGATGACTGGCCAAAATACGGACCTGATTATGTATTGCCAGTACAACCTAGTCTTACAAAAGATTTAAATACAGAACAGTATCTGAATGAATGTATAGCAAAAATAAAATGTAAGTCTTAACATATAATATTTTCATGTTCTTTTCATAAAAGCACACTAGGTACTGGACTTATGCATTGAAAGGATGATTTGTACCTGTGACATTGCTCGCGAGTTATCTGTATGGTACTTTACGTCCGGCACTTGGTCGTGCGGTATCTTGATGGATACTATAATGTTGTTGTAAAGAGATGATACTGAAGCAGTACGGCGGAGATGCTTCCGGTGAAGCTGCCGAGTCACATAGTGATAAGTGCCCTTCATTTTACACTTTGATTATGATTGGGAAGTGGTCGGAATGCTGTTTTATTGCTGCTAATGATTGAGTAAAAAAGAGCACTTAACATAACATATAACATAAACACTCACGCCTGTCACCCAGAGCGGTAGGCAGAGACTACAGACTTCCATTTGGCACGATCCTGACACACCTCTCTCGCCTCCTTCACATCCATACACCTACGCATACATGCTCGTCGGTTAAGGGTACTCCTAATTTGGCCCGTTTTCAATAAATCGCCAATTTGGTCGATAAATTTTCGCCTAGGACGTCCCTTACCGACTCTGCCATTCACTTCTGCAACATAAATTTTTTTTGTCACTCTTTCCTCATTCATTCTTTCCACATGACCAAACCACCGAAGCATTCCTTTCTTAATCCTGGTCACAACATCATCTTGCAAACCACACTCTTCTCTTATTACACAATTTCTTACCCTGTCATTCAGATTCAGCCCTAACATACTCCTTAACTTAACATAACTTCTTACATTGTTAGTTAGTTTACGACGGGCTGTTTTCCGCAACTCCACGTCTAAGCGCGTATTTTGCGTGTGGGCAGGAATAATGTGGTTATTCGAGCCATGATATTTCCCCGAAGAAGTACAACAGTCCTTTGATGTTGCAAGCAACTTCGGGGAGCGATCCCGGCTTGCCGAGATGTTTAGCCCTATCTGAAGCGACTTCTGGACATGTCAGCAACACGTGAGACGCCGTTTCTTCCTCTCCCATGCATGCCCTGCACAGGGGGCTATCAGTAACACCTATGGTGAACAAATGTTTGTTAAAAGAGCCGTGTCCTGTGATAGCACTCGTTACTATCCTGATCTGTGGCTTGTTCAGTCATTAGAACCTTGGTTAGACGACTGTTTATTTCAGGCAGGGCCTCCCTAGCTTGTCTACAGTCTACTAATTTTTTCTTACATTGTTATAAATTTATCATCATTTACAGGTAACCTTAATATGATGGCTGCTAACAGTAACCAATTTCTGCCATCTAAAAGTAAAGTGGATCTAAAACAAGAAGAGACTAAAAATGTGAAGGAACTAGGATCACAAATGGAAAATAAAACTATTAACGATGTATATGACTTCGATGATTAAGATAATATGCACAAATAAATGTTTTAATTTGATATTTGTCATTTCTGATGTATCTTCATCAAAAATCTTAATTAAGGCCGAATACGAAGAGAACTGGCGAAAATTAATGTATTTCTCTTGACTAGAACTTTGACCTGAAGTAATTCTAAGCTTTAAAACATTTTTGTAGGTTTGTTCGGGTCCTTCACAAGGTCACCGTCATTTTAAAATTTTAAAATAAATGAATATACCATCAAATAAAAAAATGTTAAGAAATGATATATAAAATTATTGTTCTTCCAAAACTCTGTGAATTTTAATTTAGGAAAAATTCTTTTACGTAAAAATGTTTGTATTGTGATTCCGAAGGTACCTGCTATCTTTATTTTCGATACAAAATATTATTTATTAAAATAACTCGTTTTAATTAAAAACACCTAATAATAATATCGTATATTGCCAGATAAAAGTTTGCCGTGATAAATTACCAGGCGCTTCGACGTGTGACGTAAGGTAACAACAGTCGATGTGTCTGTAGCGAAAATCGTTAATTTAGTGTTTTATACGCGTTTAAGTGTCTATAAATGTAAATATGGATAGGAAAAGAAATAAATGTTACCTAAGTGGTAAAACAAAGAGAGTTTATCGCATGAACGCTGCTCGAATGTTGTATTTTGAGGTTAATACTTATATTTTTGTAAGGTAATTTTTTGTTTGAGGCTTCCTAATAGGTTGCATTTTTACTCATTTACATTAGCCAAACTGATCATTTATACTTTTCTAGCTTCAAGTGAGAAACACTAAAAATGTAAATATCAAGACACAGTCGGAAAAGAATGTACAGGGTAGTGCAACCACAGAGACCGCAAATAATGTCAGTCAATGTATTGTCCGAAAGCATGGGGTAAGACATAATTAAGAAAAACCGAAATACTTCGGATGTGAAGTGATTGACCAGTCGGAGTAGTCTTGTGAGAATTTACATACACAGTACCTATCCCCATATGTGGCAATCACCGACTTTTTAGTTTTTTTTTCTTTATTATTCATGCAATTTGCATTACGGCATCTTGTAAGACTCACAAGAACAAACATTTTCAGTTATATGAGGTTCTTTACGTACGATGCACCAATTAAGAAAAAAAAATCGTTATCGATTCAATAACTTTTCGAACAATATTTTATAACGAATAAAGTATATAATTTATAGGAACTAACATTATAAATAAGAAAATTTTAATTTATTTAAGAAGTAAGCAATGCTCTCTATGTTGTTCATTACTCTGCATCTGAGCTAGCTCAGTCAAATATAATCAAAGCCCGTACGGCTTTGATTATAGGTATTATACATGTCTATATAAACAAAGCGTAGGTACTGGCAGCGCGTGGTTTGCTGCGAAACGAGCAAGGTCATTCGCGTCGTATTCGGCCTTAATATATAATTCACATAAAAAAACTATTTTACAAAATAATATAATAATAAATATTTGTTTATTCACTCCACTAATTTTACATCATTACTTACACTATTTAAATAAAAAGTTCCATTCATTACATTGAGAGGTTAACATCGGCAGCCGTACTAGTATAAACTGTGCCACGGCTGCCTATTGGCTGCCTAGTGCTAAAATGGTAGAAGAGGCCTTCACTCTTTATTAAATTATAAATTAAAACACAAAATAAGTGAAAAAAATGTATTTATAGTTCTCAGTGAATTATTGAACACAGTTGTAACTAATAAAAAATGTTTAACATAAAAAATATGTTTTGTGTTGGACTAATATGTGTTTCTCAAAATAAAAACATTATAGATAACTGACAGAACTTATATAAGACAATGTACCCATATAAAGAAATACTTATATTGACTTCAAATTCTATCATACATGTCAATCTTATGAAAAATCTGGCATTACACACTTATGAATTCTATTTAAAGTATATTAAACAGCATGTTATAAAGCTATTTGTTCAAACGATTTAATTCCACAGGCATAATTGCAGCTAGATCATTTTGTTATGACATTTATATTTACAATAATTCTTTCCCGTACTTCATGACCAAAGCTAAACTTAGCTCTAGGTGTCGTACATTTAGTGCAAAACATTATTGAAGTAGTTTTTATTTCATTTGTTACAGATGATTTTGTAGTATTGAAACTAGATGGGGTTTTGTTTCTCTATTCTAATATAAATAAAAATGACAACTTAAGGAAATCTTAACTTTCATATTATTATTTAAAAAAACTATTTAAAGAAACTGCTAAGATTTAAGCTTTTATATTTTACCAATAAGAAGTAGCATCTTTTTAAGTTACAGTAACGTGTCTTGCAAGCAGTGTGATTGAGGAGAAACAATACCTAGTTATTAAATATTCGTTGAGTTTACAGCAGTGAAAGATTTTCTTCGTCAGTGACCACTTAACTTGGAGAAGTGACTTCTCTCAATAAGATAAATGCACATGTAATAAAGTTAGATTTATTAATACAATTACGATAGCCACATTACTAAAAATTCCCCTCTCTGTTGTAAAATCAAAGACATTTAATCTAGGCATTTCTTAATCAGATGGTCGTTTTTCACTATGTTTTTTAGTAAATTCTTCTGCATTCTTTGTGAATTTTTTTCTGTCTTTCAAAAATTCTTCAGCAAGTTCAGCACGTAAAGGATGTTCCGGTTCTGGATCATTTACAAGGGCAACTAAAGCTTGAATAACTGAAAAAAATCCTGAATATTATAATCACATATTTATTTAAAGGTACAAAATAAAAGATTTTAAAAGTGAAGACTTGTTCATTAAAGTCATCATATTAAGCTAATATCACTTAACTGTATCATTATAAAGTAAATATTGAATGTCTATGAGTTTATCAGTGCTAACACAAAAATATAAAACACTAGAGATCCACCCTGGCTTCGCATGGATTATTTCTGGATCTCGACAACAGCATCACCTACGTCCACCTAATTAAACCATCCAGAGATTCAACACACACAAAATGGTCTAAACAAAAAAAAATTACCAATGCATTGTAAGACATTTTTTCATCTCATTCCTTTAACATAACATAAACTCTCATGCCTGAGGGGTAGGAAGAGAATACAGACTTTCTTTTGGCACGATCCTGACATACCTATCTTGCTTCTTTTACATCCATAAACTACATACATGCTTGTCGGTTAAGGGTACTCTTAATTTGGCCCATCTTCAAAATGTTGCCAATTCAATACATTTTTTATATTACAACATATTAGTCATCAGTCAACAGTATTAGTCACCCATTACACTTTCTTGCTATATAAAGCCTCAGAAATCTTTACTTTTCTTCACAATCACAGATATATAATGTTAAATAAGACCCCAACTTCATCTTTACCACATAACAAGGAATTCATGTTACATACCACTCAAAATTATGTTGACAAATCAAGAGATATTTGCAGTGTACAACATTTCTGGCCTCACTTATAACAATTGATTATATCTTGCTTTGTTAAAGTTATGTTTATTACCTCTCTTTCTATTGTCATTTAATGGACAGATATATATATATAGTAACTTAAAATTTTTGCAGCTTAAAGCATTGCTAAATTGACTTCAATTTTTGATATTAAGGCTATTTATCACTATCATAAAGACTAGCAGGTCTGAATTGGATATGAAGTCAGCTAAAATAGCAGGAAATTGATGAATCTAACATTTATTGAAGTACCCTTACAATACATGCATATATTTTCATGAAAACATACACATATTACTACTTTCTCATGCCTGTTCCCAGAAGGGTGGGTGGAGACTCGAGGCTTCCATTTGGTGCAATTTTGACACACCTTTTGCTTTTTTCACATCCATATATTTATGCCTACATGTTCATTGGTTAAGGATACTCTTAAATTGGCCCACCCTCAATATATCACTAATTTAGTCCATAAGCATCCTTAAGTCAACTTAGCCACTTACCTCTGCAGCATAAATTTGCTTTGTCACCCTATCCTCATTCACTTTCTGTGTCCAAACGAACAGTGTTTATTTACCGTACCTTACTGTAACAGCCTATTAACCCTTGATTACTTAACTATCGTAAATATTATGACAGCAAAATCATAATTCCTAGAAAATATAAAGCTTGACACCACACCCCCACTTAAGAGTTCCTTCCTAATTATGTCCGTCAGTGTGCCACATGCTGTTATTATGGTCGGTTGTAATTTGTGCATTGAATTATAGCAAGTGTGTCGTAAATTTTACGAAAGTTCAGTGTTCTTGACCCAAAAGTAAGTAGTGTACTTGTTTTTATCACTTTATAAAGATTTTGTGTTGCTTATGGCTTATTTTGTTTTTATAAGTACATATGCAAGATAATATATTGTTTTATATGTCTCATGTTGTTGATGATGAAGTTAGTTATTGGAGATGGACTGTACATAATAGTGACACTGGCATATCGAATCTGATTCTTCACAATATAACGATTTTATGTCCATTGAAACTGCTCAAAGTAGTCAAAACGGAACATAATATAATCCCAATGTTGTTATACCAAAAAAAATTATTCAAGCCAAAAATTTACATAAATGGTACAAATTTTTCTGAAAATCACGAAGCCTAGACAGCTAAGTATGCAAGCTCTGCTTCCAGAAATATCATGTTGTGATGAGATTATATCAAGGTGAAGTATGTAATATATTGAAACTGTGTGAGATGTTCTCTTTATTTCCTAGCGATAAAAACGTTGAAGAAGTAGTCACATATACCAATGCCGAAATCGAATAAAGAAAGTCAAACTAGTTCAACATTAAACATATCTATGGTATTGAAACTATTTCTACTTAGTTGCAATTATACAAGAATCAAACTAGAAAAACCTGTGCATTTAGGCCATTAAAAATCAGAAAAATGACAACTAACTTTTGCATGAAATGTAAAAGAGCCATATGTAGGGGCAACATGAATGTGTTCAAACTGTGTGGATTTAAAAAATGTGTACTATTTTTATTACTATGTGATCTCTTGAACACA